AGTCATAGTTAGGCACACATCTCAAAATGAACAAGGGCATGTAGCCATAATAATTAAGCCGCTGCTTATCCATATCGCAAATATCGGAAATTTGATTAATATTCTCATAAATCTGACCATATATTGAGAGCCTCAGCTCCAACACTCGGCACCGGGTGCTCGACTGGTTCACGTAAAACTGGACAAAAGCTACTGTTTCCGGTGATACCGTAATCAGTGATATATTAGTCGCGCGAATCAATTGCCGCAATCGGTTGGCCTCTAAGTCACGCAATTCGGACGTAATGTCTGTGAGGGGCCGGTCGACGGCAACGGAAACTACGGCTAAATCTTGATTTAAATTTCTGTTATTTGTGGCGACTATATTGGTGTTAATGTAGTCCTTATAAATAAAATTAATTTAAAATTATATTTTATAATGACCTAGGTATTTACTAGCTATATAAAAGTCAATATAAACCATATTCATGCCCATAGCATAGCATTTGTTTAGCCGACACGAGCGACATCTACGTCTAGTTTTTACATCTATTTTACAGTTTTTATTATAAATGCATTTATATTCCTGGTATGAAAAATAATTTTAAAATTTATTAAACATTTATAATATTAGGTATATTAATTTGCTTAATTATTTACTTGCTTAGTTACTGCATTACGTCTGAAAAACTCCTTACAAGAGGCACATGTAATTGCTTGAAAGTTGTAGCCTACTCAAATAAATATTATTATATTACATTAATTTATTAAATTTTATTTATTTAAATGCCTATATAAAATAATAATCTATATTACCAACAGATTTGTCGCCACATATTACACAAATTGAATCATCCATGTTAATTATAAAAATATTTACTTTGTGAATTTATATAATAATATTACTCTCAAAAACTTCCATTAATGTTTTTGCATGCTAATAAAACAATTAGTTTCATAGTGATACCCTTGATAATGAATATATTTTTATTATATCACATGGTATTCATAAAAAAGTTATAAAATAACTTTAAATTATATCATTATAACTTTATATTACTTTAATTATCAGTGTGAATTCACTATACAATATATAACTAACGCAATAAATTATTTATTATAAATTGAATAAAAAATTAAAAATATAAATGACTTTTATGAAATATGTTTTATTTGTTTTAACAAATTATAAATACAATAAAAAGTAAATTGATAATGATTGACTTTATATTATTTATACTTTATCAATTTTTTAAAAACCAATTACAAGATTTTACAAATGATCTTGAGCAATTTATTCATTCCGTTGCAGTCGATGATTCAATAATATCATTGTCCATACAATCTCTACAGTCGAGCTTAAACGTAGCCAACAGTCGGGAATATGTACCTAGTTTAAATTTAAGTAATTACATTATATGTATACTGTAATTTTTTTTATATAAACTAACCATATTTTAAGGTCACTGTTTCATTACGGGGTAAGGCCTCTGTTAGTTGGTATTTTTGTGCAGTGTCCTTTTTATCAAAATTAATTGACTCGTCACCTTTAGCCCATGTATACTCCACATCAACCGTGCTAAATCCATCTAGATGAAATAGATAAATACACACTTATAATAAGCTAATTTGTTATGAATCATATAAAAATAAAATAATTATTATATAATGTATAAATGTGCTTTATAAATGAAAGTTTTATGAATACACATAGACAATTAATAATATATTTAAAAAAAATTATAAGCATGATATTAATGACATTATTAATTAGTTATCACCATGCTACTTACATGATTCCATTTCTAGTGTACACTCGTCCGACTTAACACTTTTCTGCGGTCCGCACCTGTAGTTCACTTTAATTCTGAAAATTTATTTTTAAAATAATTTATAAATTTCTCGTATACTATATGTTTTCAGTTCACCTTTCGCTATACATAACATCGCCATTAGGTTTAACTTTCAAGAAAGTGTTCCGGGTCGGGTATTTCACGATATTCACGTCCATGGAGTTTGAGAAAAATGTGTCAGGTACCCATACCCTCTCCATGAGTGACTGTCCACCATACACATCCTGGGTTATGCTATCGGATACAAGTCGAGGGTCGTTCCACATTTGCCGGAAATACATCATCATGCTCATATCCTATGTCAAATATTAAAATTTTAAAATTATGCTAGCTAGTGTTAATCTTTTGAAATACAAACAAAACTGACCCTAGTTTCCGGGTTAAAGTCGTAGTTGATAACATACATAGTGATGCCAACTTGAACCGAGGTATTTTCTGCGGTAAATGTGTATTTCATAATATTAAATAAAAATAATATATTACAAATAATTAATATGCTCAAAGGTACCTGCTAAGTTAGGCCTTATATCCTTGTCGTACATTGGCGAATTAGTAAGCATCTTGAAATTGTTCACCGCGGCAACCCTAGGACTAATGCCTAATAAATCAGCCCTAGGATATTTTTACAATTAATTAATAAAATTTGTAGTTAGTATAATTAATATGAAGTGGTATGTTAGGGTACTTACATTTTAGG